GACAATTTATTTTTCTTTCCTTCAACTATGGCTGCTGCAGAGTACAATAATCACTGCTGGTGGATGTCGCCGCCAGCAGTGATCATGCTAAAAAAACAGGTAGGCTGGTTGTACTGAAGTCGATTGACAGACCAGCCTGCACATAGATGGATCGAAATTCATCTGGTTTCTGAATCAATCAATCAATCTACAGCCATCTTGAAGAAGAACTTCACCCAAAAGGGGAGGTTCTGGTTGCTTGAAACCCCATCCCCCACTCTTTAGGAATTGGTGCTTTTTGGAGTGGGGACGGGAGGGCGGGTACCTGTCAAAACCAGGTTTTGACAGATACCTGCCCCCACTTCCACTCGGATCACCTCGGCGATCTGAGAAGAAGTTTACCCCCTCCTTTCCCCACTCCTTCCCCCACAGAAGACTATGTCACCATTCATGCAGCCCGGCTCGCGCATGTGCAGTGGGAAACTGACTGTGAAGCTACAAAGCTTCACTGCTAGTTTCCTTTAGTTAAGATGCTGTGCCTGGACCCAAAGCCGATTGAAGGATCGGCTCGAGTGAGGACAGCGCTGGATCCCTGGACAGGTAAGTGTTCTTACATTAAAGGACAGCAGACTACGTATTTGTAGCTGCTGACTATCGGTTGTTTGGGGGAGTAGACTGGAGAACTGATTTAAGTAGATTACAGCAGGTAATGCTAACATCAACATTATATCCAACAACAGAATAATATTTCAGGTTGTTCTTAGCAAATAGGTCTGTTCAGATTTGACAGATTTGCAGTTACTCTGGAATTTATAAATAACTGCAAAGACATGCTGGTAGTATGTGTATGACGATATGAGTTAGGGACCTTAGATTGGTAGGTTAATTGGATCCTGTCTAAATTGGCCCTAGTATGTGTATGTATGAGTTAGGGACCTTAGATTGTACGCCCCTTGAGGGTTAGGGACTGATGCGAATGTACAATATATATATGTGTTAAGTGCTGCGTAAATTGACAGCGCTATATAAATACCTGAAATAAAATAAAAAATTAAATAAAACCGACCATCTAATTTTTCAGATATTTATTGAATCCCTAAGAAAGTGTGCTTGGATTCAGTACCCAAAATCCTCAGCTTAAAACTGTCTGATATTCTATTCATAAACATTCCTGGAGAATCCAAATCAGCCACCTACCACAAACCTTGGTGATAAAATGACTGCCAAAATAATTACCTTTCATTTCTTTCCGGTAGCATGATGCTTATGTCACACTGGAAACAACTATAGGACAATCCTGAAAGAAGTAATAAAAAGCCCATCACCATTGGCATCTTATTGGCAGCCAATCACAGAGCTGTAGATTTGTAGCCAACAACTGTCAAACCTCATTTCTCAGTATTACAATGTGGCCTGGTCAGAATAAGATTCATAATTTCACTTTCCAACTGTCATTTGCGCGCTGCAGCTTTGAACCATATTAGCACCCTTGGAGCATTACTGACAACTCTTCCTAAATACACAATTTATTACAACATAAATAAAAGAAAAGATTACAGCTGTACTTGTGCTAATGCTGGTGTGGGGCCAAAACCAATACTGCTCTGTACCTCCTTTTTGGTATTGAATCCCTCCTATTAGGTCAAAGCTAAAGCAGATCAGCATGTCAAATTGATATGGGACTAAAGTCATCTTCCATTAAACAGTGTGCTAAAGTGTTACTAAACCCACAGCCGTAACATCAGTCTGTATATGCAGTAAAGCATGCTTGTCATACTCACTATGGGGTTAATCCAGGGCTGCTGTTAGAAACCACGGGGCCCCATACAGCCAACATGACAGCCCCCCCCCCCCACCAAAATAAACACAGTTTACTATGCTTCAGTTATGAATAAACACAGGGAGCGATTGGTACCGATCACTCATTGAGTTCATTCAGGAAAGAAAGGGGCTGGTAAATGTGACATATTTACCAGACCTTTCCTCCACTGTACATCCTGCAGGGGGGCCTGGGCAGCAGGGGGAAACATGGTGCACAGGGAGGATGATGGGTGCGGGGAAATTGCTGGAACCAATCCCTTGTATGGCTCTCTGCAGCTTTCAGCTGCTGCAGAGAGAGCCATACAGGGGATTGGTTCCAGTAATTGCCCCCCCCCCCACCAAACTGATCACCATCCCTGCCCACATCTGATTCACCCAGCTGCATGGGCACTCCTGCTGGCCTGGGCCCATACAGGAAGACTGGTGGTATCCCCTTATCCACAGCCCTGGGTTAATCCTTCCCCTTCTGTTACTGTCCCCAATCCATCTGCTGAAAGTACAGAGCCCCAGGAGGCACTCTGCACATGCTCAGTTTGGTGTGTATTGCGCTAGAGAGGTTTTTTTTTTTTATTTTGGCGGGGGGGGGGGGGGGTGCATGTGCTTGGCACAGGGCCGATCGACACTGCCCAGACAGAGGGTCAGGGGTCATGCAGCCTCATAGGACAGTCAGTGGAGAATGAAAACTCCTCCTACAAGATGCCTTGGCAAAATTAAACTGTCCTAACGCAACACATACTGGGATTGATTTATAAAGGCAAATAGATTGTGCACTTTGCAAATGCAGCTGCTCCAGTGCTTAGTAAATAAGGAAATGCTCTGCTTACTTCCATCATTCAATCATGTACAAGCAAAAAGTTTTTTTTTTATTTTCCTTGCATGTGATTGGGTATTCTTTGCAAAGTGAAGTGTCACCTCATTTACTAAACTCTGGAGCAACTGCACTTGCAAAGTGCACAGTCTATTTGTCTTTATTAAAATAATACCCTTTTATGGTTTAAAGTTCCAGTTAAAATCTCTCAATTGAAGACCGACCTGGTGATTTGTAGAAACTGAAGTGCTGCAGTGAAAACTAGAGGGCACAAAGGAAAACATTGTCTATTTAAATAACAAATTTCCATGTTTGACTAGAGTATTCCTCTAGTTGTACAAGACGGGGGACCGCATGTCAGGTACAAATGGATTAGCTTTATTAGTTGTTCTGTTTTATTAAGCAGGGAATATATTACATTATATGTTCTAATTTGCTGTTAATGGTTTATTTTACCTTTTAATGTGGCATGATTTCTCAGCTGCATTTGTTCTTCATCTGTGTAAATTAAAAGATTCAACATTGATTATGTATGATTTCTGTTTTCTATAATAGGAGATGCATTTAAAAAAAGTCATATTAAAGTAGACCTAATCTGTAGTTCTATTCTTACAGCTTAATGTTAAAGAAGCTAAGAGGTGCTAATATACTTGGCTTTCTTCCAAGGATAAGTACTTTGGACTGGCCACATGATTGGGAGCCTGAGCATTGGTCATGTGGTCCCTGTTGAGTCTTGACAGAGAAAATCCAAATTCAGGTACAACGGCCAGCTAAACACACTTTTGGGCCTCTTTCACACAGGTGTTCTGTATGTCCGTTTTTCATCTGTCCGTTTACAGATGAAAAACAAACAACCGTGTATTTCTATGGACTAGCGGATGTAAACGGATGATCATCTGTTTACATCTGTTAATGTCCACATCTGTTAACATCCGTTTTTTTTGAAAGGAAGAAAACCCTATTTTTCTTCTGTAAAAATAAACAGAAGAAAAACGGATGTGAATAGTTGTAAACTGATGTAAACGGACAAAAGTGGATGTAAACTGATGTAAACGGACAAAAAAAGGATGTAAATGGATGAAAAACAGATGTAAGTGGACAACAATGGATGTAAACGAATGGAAACTGACAAAAAACGGATGAAAAATGGATGTAAATTGATGAAAAAACGGATGTAAACTGATGAAAAACTGACGTAAACTGACAAAAAAAAACTGATGTAAACTGATGTGAACTGATGTAAACTGATGGTAAACTGAAGTAAACTAAACTGATGAAAATTGATATGAACTGACCAGTTTTTTCTTGGAAAAAACATGACTGAACTGATGAAAAAAACGGAATGCCCGTGTGAAAGGGGCCGTACTTCAGTCTCCCAGGAGAGATTTGGGGGAGATTTAGTAAAACTGGAGCACTCAGAATCTGGTGCAGCTGTGCATGGCAGCCAATCAGCTTCAAACTTCAGCTTGTTCAATTAAGCTTTGACGAGAAAACCGTGACGCTGACTAATTTCTACGTAGTGTGTGTGGGTAGGTAAAGCCCGCCATAGACAGTTCGAATTTGTCCGGGAATTGTTTGAATTTTGGGACCGACTGAGATTCGAACCATCTATGGGCAGGCTGAATGTACCCAAGTTGATTGATCACTCAACTTGGGTACAACCAGCCTGTCAGGTTTTACATGCGATTATTGCTAGCGGCTATTATAGGGAGTTCTCCCAGAGGGAACGGCTCTCTCTGCCTCCCTACCCCACCAGGGAGAACACAATGGCTCTGCTGGAAGGTTTCCCCCCATCAACACTGACTGTGTTAATGGGGGAATCAAGTGATTTTTCTTTTCTGCAACCCTTGATTAAAAGTCCATTCACACTTGTGTGACTTGCTATGCAACTTTGGGGTCCAAAGTTGCATGACAGTCGCATCCCATGTTTCCCAATGAGTACCATTCAAATCTGTGTGACTCTGTAATTTCTGTACTACGTTGGTACGACTTTTGATGCAACTTTAGTCCAGTGAATGTAAGATGGATCAAAGTCGCACCACAAGTCTCATCAAAGTTGCTCTGGAAATCGCATGACTTTGGAGACACGCTAATGTGAATGGAGCCTAAAGGAAAGAAAATTGCTTCACCTATGGCCGGCTTTCGGGATAGGAACTTGCTGGACAGGGAGAGTGTGTCTAGCATGAGGGAGAGGTTACAGAGGAGAAGGGACTGCTCGCTCGTGCTGCTGTGGGGAACCTTTTTGGAGAACCTTTCTGCTTCTAGTTCTCTTCTCTGCTCACTGCCTACCAGCTTCCTCCTGTAACCAGGGGCTGTTGGTCTCCATGCATTGCTTCCACATAATGTGTCCACAGTGTCACATAATCATCTGTGGCTCTTAAGGCCAGTTCTAAGTTGCGACCAGGGGCGGACTGACCATTTGGAAACTCGGCACTGCTCAAGGGCCTGGGGTCAGTAGGGGGCCCCATGAGATGCCCCTGGTACCTTTTTCATAGGCTTTTTTGAGTTTGGGCAAGGACACAGGGGCCCAATGATCCCCTATTGCCCGGGGGCCCCATGAGTTGTCAGTCCACCCCTGGTTGCGACATAGACTCTGTTGCTGTATGTTGGAACATTCTTGACAATACATTTTCTGCATCTCCAACCACTGTGTGTGCAGTTCCATCCCCTGGGGGTGCCTACCACCTGGCCTCCCTCCCGCATACAAGCGATTTCCAACTTCTAGAGGGATCCTACAGCTATGGAATATGCATAGTTACATGTTGGACTAAGGCAACTATGTAAAAATATCTATACCTGGAATTCATTTTTAAAGCAGTATTGAGCTCAAAAGCAAACATTTATTATAATGCAGCTTACCAATTTTTAGATGTGATGGCTGCATTTGTTTTCTTTTTAAGGCTTTCTTTATTCTGTTTTCATCTGGTGACCCAACAAGTACATTTGTTGTTTTTCAAGAGAAGAAGCTATCTTCCAAATGTATCCTTTTACAGGGATAATACAATCCATTTAACACTGGCAGGGGTGCTTACAATGGTCAGCTTTTATTCATTCAAAACTGTTTCTGTAACTGCTTATAAACTATGAGCTGGATCTTGGTTTCAATTTGTTAGTGAATCTATCTCCCCCCATACTGACAAGGCTGCTGTCCAAAGGTGCCCCCTGTGCTCATTCCTCCAGAATTGGGGTACTCTAATATCGGAGGTGTAAGGGAAAAAAATCCTAAAAAAAAGACAACTAATGCAGTCACCACATCTAATGATTGTTAAGCTGAAATATATTACATTTTTGGTTTTGGGTTTAATACCGCATTAAGCTGATGTCTATAAAGGATGAGTTGATAAAGTGTGCATCAGTGTTCATGTTTTGCGTTTATTCCCTTGCCTAAGAAGGGCTTATTACATCACGGATTAATAATATTAGGATTTAATACCAAGGACTGTCATCACCTGTTTGTTTACTCAGTAGGTGTGTGTTAACTCCACTTGCTGAATTTGAGAGTCCAGTATACTCAATTTTCCTGTATCATAATTGCATATTTACTTGTTTCAGTGATAACTGACTTTCATGCTGCCCTTTTTTCAGACCACTGAGAATGTTAACCACTTCCTGTCTGGACACTTTTACCCCCTTCCTGTCCAGGCCAATTTTCAGCTTTCAGTGCTATCACACTTTAAATGACAATTGCGCGGTCATGCAACACTGTACCCATATGAATTTTTTAGCATTTTTTTGAGACAGATAAAGCTTTATTTTGCTGGTATTTATTTACCACTGTGATTTTTTATTTTTTTTGCTATGTAAATGAAAAAGTCCAATAATTTTGAAAAAAAGTGTTTTTCTTATACAATTTTGCAAACAAATAGTATTTCATCATAAATCTTGGCCAAAATTTATTCCGTTATCATTTTAGTAAAAAAAAAAAAAATAACCCAAATTAGTTTATAACCAAAAATTATAATTTTTAAACATTTTTTTAATTTTTTTTTATATTATTATTTTTTTTTTTACATACTGTCACCCTAGCAATACAGTGTCACCATGGGGGGTGATGAAGATTTTTTTTTTACACTGATTGCTTTTACAACCATAAAGGCTGTAAAAGCAATAATTTCTCCTTCTCTCTAGCTGCATTCTTGCAGCCATTGAGAACTACTGAATGAGCTGTGATGGTACAAGGCTGTTGTGATTAGCCTTGTTCCATGTGACCTCTGTGATCATTCACAGATTTAACACGTAGTAAGCAATGATGTCACAAGTGACATCTTGCTTACTACCCTGCATGTGATCACTGATTGACCAATCAGTGATCACATGATCTGGACCTCGCACGGAGGTCCTGTTCGACGATTAGTGTTCCACTGTGTCCGGAGGACACAGCGGGCACTGGATCGCGGTGCCTTGTGCTCCCAGGGAGCGCGCACAAGCAGGGTGCAGGGAGGCCATTTATAAACGGCCACCCGACCCTGCACTGCCACTGTCCGGCCGTTTATATACATGAACCAGATGGGAAGTGGTTTAAAGTGGACCTTTCCTCCCTGCCAATAAAATTCACATCAACATGCAGCTCTATATGTTAATGTGAAAATATCTAAAAAAAAATTTCTTTAAAAAAAAAGATAGCTGCTTTAATGGCTGTCCAGTTCCTGGTTCTTCTTAGGCATTGACATTGCCAGGGCCTCACAGATGCCCCCTGGAAAGGCTTCATCACCAGTGCTACTCAGAAAGATCTTGTTCCTCGAGATCTTGGCTTAAAAAATTGTGTATCCTCATACCATGCATGCACTAGATGAGGTGTATGACATTATGGGATTCACCTCACACATGTGGCATTCGACATTATACTCTACAGGTGCATCTCAATAAATTAGTTAATTTATTTCAGTAATTCAATTCAAAAAGTGAAACTCATTTATTATATAGATTCATTATACACAGAGTGATATATTTCAAGCATTTCTTTCTTTAAATTTCAATGATTATGACTTACAGCTAGTGAAAGCCCAAAATTCAGTATCTCAGAAAATTAGAATATTGTGAAAACGTTTAATATTGTAGACTCATGGGGGTTTATTTACTAAAGCTGGAGAGTGCAAAATCAGACTCACTTCTGCATAGAAACCAATCAGCTTCCAGGTTTCATTGCCAAAGCTTCATTGAACAGAAGCTGATTGGTTTCTATGCAGAAGGGAGTCTGATTTTGGACTCTCCAGCTTTAGTAAATAAACCCCATGGTGTCACACTCTAATCAGCTAATTAACTCAGAACACCTGTAAAGGTTTCCTGAGCCTTTAAATGGTCTCTCGGTCTGGTTGAGCAGGTTACGCAATCATGGGGAAGACTGCTGACTTGACAGCTATCCACAATTCAGTCACTGACACCCTCCACAAAGAGAGAATGTCACAAAGATCATGGCTAAAAAAGCTGGCTGTTCACAGTGTGCTTTATCCAAGCATATTAATGGAAAGTTGAGTGGAAGGAAAGAGTGTGGTAGAAAAAGGTGCACAAGCAACAGGAATAACCGCAGCCTTGAGAAAATTGTGAAGCAAAGGCCATTCAAGAATTTGGGGAATACTCACAAGGAGTGGACTACAACTGATGTCAGTGCTTCAAGAGCCACCACACACAGACATATTTAGGACATGTGCTACAACTGTCACATTCCTTGTGTCAAGCTACTTCTGAACCAGAGACAATGTCAGAAGTGTCTTACCTGGGCTAAGAGGAAAAAGGACTGGACTGTTGCTCAGTGGTCCAAAGTAAATTTTGCATTTCATTTGGAAATCAAGGTCCCAGATAGTGGAGGAAGAGTGGAGAGGCACAGAATCCAAGTTGCATGAGGTCCAGTGTGAAGTTTCCACAGTCCATGATGATTTGGGGAGCCATGTCATCTGCTGGTGTTGGTCCACTGTGTTTTATTAAGTCCAAAGTCAACACAGCCCTCTACCAGGAAATTCTAGAGCACTTCATGCTTTCCTCTGCTGACCAGTTTTATTGAGATGCTGATTTCATTTTCCAGCAGGACTTGGCACATACCCACACTGCCAAATATATATACCAATACCTGGTTTAATGACCATGATATCACTGTGCTTGATTGGCCATCAAACTCGCCTGACCTAAGCCCCATAGAGAATCTGTGGGGTATTGTCAAGAGGAAGATGAGAGACGCCAGACCCAACAATGCCGATGACCTGAAGGCCACTATCAAAGCAACACCTCAGCAGTGCCACAGGCTGATCACCTCCATGCCACACCACATTGATGCAGTAATTCATGCAAAAGGAGCCCCAACCAAGTATTATTGCACACTATACTGTATGGACATACTTTTCAGTAAGCCAACATTTCTGTATTAAAAATCCTTTTTTATTGGTCTTATGTAATATTCTAATTATCTGAGATACAGAATTTTGGGTTTTCACTAGCTGTAAGCCATAATCATCAAAATTAAAAGAAAGAAGTGCTTGAAATATATTACTCTGTGTGTAATGAATCTATATAATACATGAGTTTCACTCTTTGAATTGAATTACTGAAATAAATTAACTTTTTGATGATATTCTACTTTATTAAGATGCACCTGTATGTGAGGCAGAAAGGTCATTGATGAGCTGGCAGAGAAGATGGAAGAAGAAGCCATTCACCGACAATGTCCACCGACCACAATATATTAGTTTCTAATATGACAAAATATTAAAAAGGCACCTTCAGATAGTGAGGTGCACTTATATTTTTAAATCGTGTGTTAGCGGTTTTAAGACAGGAGTGAAGGTCTGATTTAAAACACCGGAATCCAAATTCAGCCCAATTTCTGTGGTGTTATTAGCTGCCTTCTGCCAGTATTTTTATATTAATAGAAGCCCACAGCCTTCACAATGGGGGAAGAAAGGAAGAGATATTTAAAGGGTTTGTGATTGGCTGTTTCTGCTGATGAAGAGCCGAGAGAGCTGATAGGCATATCTAAGCAGTTCCCAGCTGTATAATGCAGTTTGTTACCGCAGGGAGGCCGCAGGAAGCATACAACTGTCATAGTAGTATATTTGGCCCTTGCACTGCAGGAAGGTGTGTTATGAAAAACATGGTCTACATTAATTTACCACATTAAAGTACATTTACTGCGTTTTCATGCTGGATGCCATATGAGCAGCAGGCACAGATTATTTTTTATCTCTTTTTACGCTAGGGCATGCAGCAAAATGCATGTTAAAATCATTTGTCATTGCTCAAAAGCATATGCTGTAATGCACTTAAAAAAAAATCCATGAATCTGCATGAATAGTCATAATGCAAGGTGGAAATCATACCTTGCAGTTCTTCTAAACCCAAAAACAAAGATGTAGTATATTGCAGTTTAGCAGTTCTTAAAGTGGAACTTCACCCAAAAGGGAAAGTTCTTGTTTGCATCCTGCCCCCTTCCACTGCCGCATTTGGCACTTTTTGGTTTCCAATGGTTTTTTTATTGAGTAGTTTTACAAAAATAAGTAGTACGAATAAACAGTGTACCATCATACATACAAATATAAGACACTGATAACAACGAAGTGTGCCACAAACAATTGACATTTAAGGCAAATGCATGTTACAACTAAA